GAGAAAAGTGGGGGAAATACTGTCAAAAATCCAGACCGTCCTCCATCTGAAGCATCTGTTGTCTTGCTCAACCTCTCAAATCTCTACTTCCCTCTCTCTCTCTCTCTCTCTCTCTCTCTCTCTCCATCCTAAAGCGTGACTCAGTTCATCGCCAGCACTGAAAAGCAGGATGTCCCAAAGAAATCAGGCAACAGGGCTGTCTGGAGGAGGACGTGTGTGTGTGTGTGTCTGCATGTGAAAAAAGTGTGTGTGGTGTTGGTTGGAGGGGAGATGATGGTTTAAGCCAATCCATAGGGGGATGGAATAAGTCCTCTGCCTGTGGTGGATACACCATGTGTGCAGGAGGGGGGTTCAGTTGCAATAATCATACGACAATCGCGTTAAGCGGATCCTTAAGCCACACACACACTCAGGAACACACATATACACACTGATTGCCTTTCAGACTTTAATGCAAATATATATCTTCTGAGAGAGTAAGCAAAGAGCTGTTCTGTAACTCCAAGCTCATAGGAGCATATAAATCTGGCAGAGAGAAAATATGTTTGATGACGCTGTCTTGCAAGCAGAGAACTCCATACAAGCAGACTTAAATAGGGGCTTAAAATAAACCATTTCAAAGGCTGGTGCAATAGAGAGCATTTGATTGTTGGCCATACTACAACCATCATTGTAAAGACTTAGTAGTGAGGGCTTTCTTTTATTGGAGTATGCTATGAATTATTAGCAATGCAGTTGCTGCCATCAGGGGCAGAACTTGTTAAATAGGCAGATCCTCTTCTCGCTGACAACACGCAGCAGCTATTAAAGAGCACTGTAAAGTGAGATAAAGGGTCAAGCCTGAAACATAATGCGGATCAGATCAGTATAATGCAGGCATGGCTGGACAACTCTCTCTGCAAGGGGTGATCCGGGCTGCGGGGAAATGCATCATGCACGTTCACTCATTTGAATCACTCTATCTGAAGCTTTATGGAAACTATCTTGTGCTGAAATGTTCTGATGTGTATTCAAATCTAACAAACAGGCTGTGACTTTACTCTTGAATGTCATACCTCCAGATAACAGCCCAACGCTGCACAGATCTCTCACTCTTACCTCCAAGCTACTCCACCCAGATTAATCTAATATACCCCAATCCTGAGGTCTGCAGCATCAGCCTTTCCTCTGTTGGCATGAGACAATACCTTCTGTAGCCTGCTAATCGGACCCCCAACGGGAGTGTGTGTGTGTGTGTGTGTGTGTGTGTGTGTGTGTGTGTGTGTGTGTGTGTGTGTGTGTGTGTGTGTGTGTGTGTGTGTGTGTGTGTGTGTGTGTTTTCCAGGCACTTATCTGCATACACAGCCCCTGTACAGAATCATAAAAAAGCCCACACAGCCAATAGGGGATTGAGGGAAGGATGAGGGAGCGGAGGATTGAGGAAGGTTAGGGCAAAACCCTTTCATTTTCTAGGGGTTTACCTCCAAAGGCCAAGTTAACTATCTCTATCAAGCCAGGACTGAGCAGATTTCCTTTCACTTGAGCAAATGATGTTCTACTGAGGAGGGTATTGACACTGCCATCCCTTTCCAGCACCGCTTTCTTGTTCCTTTTGAAATGTGCCAAGTTCAAGGGCGAAGCTACAAAGCAGTCGGCTGTAGCAAATCTCCCCGGCTGAAGAGAATGACAGAGAGTGGCATCCCTTTCCCCTCAACACTGAGTCTGCATCAGGTTACAGGATGTGTGAAGCCACTGTCTTTCACATGTCGACCGGAGCGTAACAACACGAAGGCACTTAGTGCTGCTCCCACGGGTGGACTCGTGGTACCACATCTGGGACAAACTCACTGCTAAACTCAGGGCTTTGAAGTAAAAAAAAACTGTTTTTTATAACATGGCAGGGCTTCAACCTATAGCCAGAATAATTAATTACCCTACCACATTTTGTTAAAAGCACACTGTGTTGTTCACAGAAAAATGGTTTAAATGGAACCAACCGAAAAAGACTTGTATCGCAGAGCTTCAGTCGGTAGACTACATAACAACTAATGAAGCAAGAAATCTAGGTGTAGTGATGGACTCAGACCTGAATTTCAACAGTCACATCACAACAGTTATTAGGTCTGCATACAATCACCTGAAGAACATATCTAGGATTAAAAAACTAATGTCACAACAGGATTTAGAAAAGCTTGTCCATGCGAGTAGTCTTCAGTAGACTGCAATAGTGTGTGCACAGGGCTGACAAGAAAATCCATCAGAAAGCTGCAGCTGATTCAGAACGCTGCTGCTCGAGTCCTCACTAACATTAAAAGAGTGGATCACATCAGTCCTGTTCTTAAATCTTTACACTGGCTTCCAGTCGGCCAAATAATTGATTTTAAAGTATTATTGCTAGTTTTTAAATCACGAAATGGTTTAGGACCAAAGTATATTAACGATCTCCTGCATAATTATGAAGCATCAAGGTGTCTCAGGTCTTCCGGGACGGGTCTGCTCTCGGTTCCGAGAGTAAGAACAAAACATGGGAAAGCAGCGTTTAGCTATTATGCCCCGACAATCTGGGACAAACTTCCCGAAACATGCACGTCCGCAGAGACTCTTAGTATTTTCAAATCGAGACTGAAAACATATCTTTTTGCTGCTGCTTTTAATTGAGCTGATCATATGCGCACTGCAGTATGCATTTTATTCATGTATTGTATAACTGTTGTGTTTAATTGATTATCTTTGCTTTTTAAATGCCTGTTGTAAAATGCCATTATATAATGTGTTTCTGCTGTATTTATTCTTAAACGTCTTTTATTTTATTTTGTAAAGCACTTTGAATTGTCGCGTGCTGAAAGGTGCTATATAAATAAACTTGCCTTGCCTTGCCTTGTAGAATGAGCTTTATCCACCACTGGTAAATAAACCAAGAAAATAGTGTAATATACTGTATGCAGCCTTAAAAAGTCAAAACAGAGTAACTACACTCTTAGTGAGGAATTAAGTGAATTTGACCTTTTGACAGCTCACGTACTACATGCCTAAAAGCTTGCTGGTTAAGTGGTCACAGCTAGCCTATAGCTAAAAACAAAGATTACCTAACCTGATTTTATTCATCTAATCAGAAAACAATAATCTAATTAACACACAATTCAGTGTATTACCTATAAGACTGGTACTAAAATGAAGCGGTATTGTTGAAAAACAAAACCCCAGCTCTGCTAATGGTAGGCCTATACCTAGCTTAGCAAAGAGTAAACGTAGCTTACTCTTTGCTAACCTGCTTTCCCAGCTTTTGACTTTATAGAAGAATTTAACAAAATTAAGTTAAGCTACCTTTAACCCTTAAACTGTAGGTCGATTTATTGAAGTTATGTTGACATAAATATTAAAAAGAAGAAGAAAGGCAGACACCTAGCTAAAAAGAAATGTTTACATCCTTTGAATTAAACTGAAATGATCAAATTAAGCTTAAAGGCTCAAGCAAGCTGGAATTGCTAACCTTTTTTTGAAGTGACCAAAGGCAAATGTCAAACATCTTCTTTTGTTATGGCTGTCTGCCTTTGTGGGCAGGATAAACTCAAAATTCAGAAACTGAAAAAACTATGACTGACAGACTGATAAACATTTAGACACAAACACATCAGTTAACACTGGGAACAAAGATGCTGCCAAAAAAAAGTCTTATCATTTTAAAGCAAGTTATGTTATTCTCAGATAGACACCCATTATGTTACCATCGCTAAGGACACCCTCCCAAGAAAGCTGCATCTATGTAGTGATGAGATTAAATTCAAGATTAAAATAACCTTTCTGTTCCTTGTGAAAGCAGCATTAAATAATTTATCTAATCTTTGTTCTGCTCTGGGTCCCCTGGGAGTCACTCAAGGACCCTATTTCAACATTTAGTTTTTAAGGGACAAAGGAGTCTGGCAGCCAACCAGAGAAGTAAGAAAGTGAAAAGTATGTGTAGAACGGATTTGAAAATAAAAGTAAAAGAAAGAAATGGATCTCCCAAAGAGCAAAACAAACCACAGACAACCTCGCAGAGTGATCCGGCTGTGATTTAATGTCACTACAGACATTAAATCAAAACACAGAGGAAATGGGTCTAGCACTTAAGTTATGGCTGTAGCATCCGGATCTGCTTTTGTCCTTCACTGGCAGCTTACCACCTACAGAAATGCCCTAAAGCACGTAAATGAACCTGTACCTAACCATGACCCTGAGCTCTGAGGCAGCGCACAGCCCTCCACATGGAGGATCCATGGATGAAATCTACGACAGTCATTGAGCTGCAGCTGCTGGAGAAACGTATGTCATCCATGCATTGGCTCGTTGTGTGCATGGATGGCTGCCTCTCAGTAGCTAGGGGGGATGAGGTGTATACGCTTTAATGAGTCATCATGACACGATCACAGATCATCATCTCCAAAGGAAACTGACCTGAGACACTCCCATGAGATGAGACAAGACAGTGACTCCACACATTTCTGGAGAATACAAGATATTATAATGCACAGGCACGTGGGGTTTGTTATGAAGTGAGCACGAATACCCAGAGTGGAAAACGTTGTCTCCGTTCTTCTTAGGTATGAGGCATATGCCAGCCAGCAGGACGCACACATTAAAATGTGGGGGGAGACTATTTTCAGATAAGCTCTTGATTTGCTTCTGGGCGTTCAGAGACTGAATAATTTAAGTATGATGAGCATTTCGCTTTAACCGCAGTTGCAGCTATAAAACATGTGTGCATGTGTCATTATCTCTCTAATGTCGTTTAAACATCACTTTTCCCGATTTACTAATCGTTTTAGCTGCTTTGATATAACTGCATGCTTTGGTTTGGTTGTACGGATTTGAACTAAAACGCGCACTAAGGGAGGTAGCTCGAGGTGGGATTTTGGCTTATGACCACTAAAAAGTAATATATCGAGAAAGTTCACTGACCATTCACATCCTAGTCCTAAAGTAAGGAGTATAATGCTACTTTTTGCGAGCTCAGCACCGAGTTACGGCGCAGTGTCTCTTACCTTGAGCTGCGAGGAGCACCAGCAGGAGGACGTTTGTTAGTTTCCCGAGGAAATTCATCGATACATCGGCCCTTGACGGTTCTTTATGCAGATAAAGAAGATGCTTAGAGTTGAAGTCTGGTCAGTAACCCACTATAAACCTCTGAGTAGCCTAAGATTCAAGCATCATGTTGTCTTTGCGCTCCGGTGCGTGGAGAGAGGTTGGACTCGCGGTGCGCTCTGCCGACATGAACAACTTCTCTCGTCCCGCCTCCCCCTCCCTCCGTCCCCGCGTTACTCTCACCCACCCACTCACCCAAAGTGCCAAACCTAGCGACCTGACTCACGGTGACTCACAGGTGTTAAGTTTGGAATAAGGAAACGCTAAAATGTCTATTTGAACCCTTGTTTTTAAAATGTGGTTTTGCAATCCTTTTTCCTTAAATTATTAAAATGTAACTGTATTTTCACTTGTCTGATAGTTTACACTTTCTGAAAATGCGTACATACTGTGTATCAAGCTCAAAGACTTATCCTCACATCTACTCAATACAGCTCTAGAGAAAGATGCAGCACCCACACAATAATCACACATTTCCCCTGCTGAGCTGTAAATGACCTATTTAGTCACTTAATTGATTTTGTATGCATAACAATGCTCAGGCAGCTTAAAGCATTAGCTGCTCTATAATAGAGTGTTGAGGGATGCAGAGTCTGCCCAATTCAAATAACAGAAAGCTAAGCATAATGCATATCTGCACACTGCACTGTCGAGCATGTAAGTCCAGACTGACAAATACATTGCAGTCACAGGTAGAATTAATTTACTTTGAACTGAAACAACAATTTATTTGTAGTTTCTCTCTGCGCTTCACTTTTAGTTTGAAGTTGTATTTCTTACTTTCTTACTTTTGTTAAACCAACACATATAACAGGGTGGACAGAGATAGCTTTTAGTTGATTTCTATGTTAATAATTTATGAATCTGTTTTTATGCCTATATGGAACAAATGCACCTGCATGTCTATATGCGTGTCTATACCTATTTTAGTTTTCTGCATCATAAGATGTTTTTGTCTACTCTTCTTTACCCTCTCACCTGGCACGAAAAAAAGAACATGGAGTTTATACATAGCACTAACAAAAATATGTATCTGTGTGGACGTGCGCTGACAGATATCTAGCTAGGGAGCTAAGAGTAAGACTAAATAGAAAGAGACAAAGATAGCTTTCTTATTTAATGACCTCTTTTGTCATGTTAGATGTTGTTTTTCCTGCTGCAGTCAGCTACTGTATCAAATAACTACATACATGTACAAAGTGTCTTGCATGTAAGCAGCTGCCAGGTCAGAAGCAAAACGGCCAAAGACAAGTGGACGTCCTGGTCCTCAATTTTAAGCTCAATTAGTTTTGTCATTCGGGTTAGTGAAGTCACCCGAGCTTGATGTTGAGTCTCAAAGGCTGGAAACTGTAGTGATTAAATGTCTCTCATGGGCCGGTAGCAACATCCAAAAGAAGAAAACAGACCAAAAAGAAAGAGGAATGTAAGGTATAAGGGTGTAACGAGAGGTTTTATAGGAGCTAAGGATGCACAGAGGGCTTGATGGATGAAGATAACGGCATATGGACAGCTAATAGGGAGAGAGAGATACACAGCTGAGCATGAAATGTTAAAAGCTCCAGAAGTGATGTGATGTATAGAGAGTGTCACCAGAAGAGCAGAAGAACATGGATGCACTTTGGCTGCTTGATGTGCTTCAGTGTGACAGAGCCAGTGAGAGAGAGTCTCCACCCACAGGCAAGGAGCATGGAGGAACAGATTATTATTATTCACAGTGTGTTACTTTCATTTTCTGCCCCCACTATTACAATGTTTCTCTTGTTTTACCTCTTCTCCAAGAAGCTGCCGACAAGATAGTGACAGACATTTAAACAAGCCTTCGTAACAATTAACACTTAAAAATGTGCAGGTATTTCTCCATGGAGTTAGCTTATAAACTAAAAGGTCAACCTGTGACCTTTGTTGTTTATTTGAATATGTTTCCCTGTAAATACCTAAATGTTGGTTTTAAAGGTGTGCATTTGCCTGAATACTACTTTAATTGTTCCGTAATAACCCGTCTTTTCAGTAATATTTAATTAACTTAGATTAAAATGGGTTTTTAAGGGGAACAAACAAAGCATAAATGTGTAATTTTCTGATCTCCTGGCTATGATGGTTTAAAAGCTGAAGTCCCTCTGCTCAACAGCTCCTTATCTGCAGCTCTTTGTGATGAGTTTCGATTTAATTAGGGAAGTACAACTGGATAATGGCTTCACCTGGATTTACAAACCTCCCCAGGGCAAGAGCGTTCAAGTCATATGATTGGAGTAAGATATGATAACTGCTTATACATAAAATAAAAACTTAACGTGTGAATTCATAAAAGGAGTTGTGAAGCAATCTGAAGTGTAAGACTGTAAAGTGTGTGGTGCATTTACTTAATACTTACTATTTAGGTTGAGCAGGGATATAAAATAATGAAAGTCAGCCTCACAGGTGGAGGCTGTTGCCCTGAAGTGTCACAATCAGCGCGCTGGTGATCTAGCAGAGCAAGCTAACAGACTAAAATACTCTCCCTTCTTCTTCACCACACTCTTTTTTATTTCTTCATTCAGCTGCTTCTCTGTCCCTCTTTCTTTTGCCGTGTCTCGCCCACCACCTAGTAGACACAGTGTTAAATAACAACAGGCATCTGGTGGGACAGCTCATACAAAGCAGAAGGACCTTGAGGGCCTGATGCAAAGCAAAAGGAAAAGGGCAAGTACGGTTTTAACAGAGGGTGTGTCAGACAGGACTGTCCCGGCTTATCCACATCAACCTTGTTCACTGTTTCTCTCATGAGTCTGCGTGGGTATATCTCTCTCTCTGCCTTCTTTCTTTCCACCTTCCTTTATCACTTTGTCTGTCTTTATAAATCACACATTTTCCTGACTTTGGTTTAGATTTGTCCTAATATATTTTGGTGGCCTTAAGATAACAGAGGTCAATTGTGTTCAATCTTTTCTTCTTAAAATCATTGTTGTTGTTTTCCTTCTTTCTCTCTGGTCACAGTATCAATGTGTTACTTGTCACTCACACTAGTCTAGTGTTGCAGCAGGTCTGATGAGTAACCTGTATTATTGAACATGTTGTGTCTGGCACATTTAACATTCACTCAACCGTTTGATATAAAGTTCACCTCTTTTCCATCATAGGTACATTTAAGACTTCTTGCACCAGAGGAGCTTTGGTCATACCATTTTCATTGCCATTTCTATAGTTTATGTGCATATGACATTAAAACCTTTGAATCTTGAATCTTGAATCTAAGCTGCATTAATACGATTAATACGAGCTTTGCATTTAAGTTTGACTGCGAACACTGTTTTGATTCAGTATCACTGCTCTCCTTAGCCTTGTTATCAGCCACAGCTTTCTTCAGTGAAAGAGCTCTGATAAACAGACTGTGCACTATCTGCCCACCACCAGACAGCATAAAGTCTATAGCTGGTGCAACCCTATCTCCTGGATATTACATTTATATACAACTCATATGCAACAACCAATAACAATTTCTAATTAAACGCAATGCTTAGAAGATTTCGTCTTATTTTAACATAATGAGGAAATAAACAAGCAGTTAATCAACATTTCTGGCAAGTTACCATAATAGTTAATACTCTCAAATCTTGCCAAACAATATGTGCCTTATATTAACCATTTTATTGTCATGAGTGCATGTTGGAAACTCATAGCACTTGGTTTGCATTAGGAAGAGATCAATGTGTGGTATGATAAAAAAAAGTCTGCATTGATTTGAGATGCATCTTGTTCGTTGATATTAAACACAACCTCTTACAGTTACAATTGATGCATTTATCTCAAGTAATTAATACTTGACTGACACTGTGTACATTTTTGTCATAGAGATATGATTAAAATGTAATCTCAAAGGTCCTAACTGAGGGGACGTGTGCTCCTGACCCCTCTCCCCCTTTCGTTCCTTACCCCCTAACCCAATCTAAACTCCTTAGTCTTCCTCCCATGATCCCCTTCTTCTTTCTGCTCCGTCTCATCCCACCCCTCCACTGTAACCACTCTTCGACAACTCTTTTTAAAAAGCTCTGAGCATCCCCTTTCCTCCTACATCGCACTGTCACGCTACTCTCACTGACCCCCCCTCAACCCTGCAGCATTTACCCAGCCTTCCTCTCCTCTTCTCCTCCTCTCCCTCCTCCTTCCTCCTCCTTCTCACTCCAGCAGACCCATTAACACCACAGAGATTTGTACTTCCTGTTTTCCATTTATCCAGTGTCCACTATACGCAGAGAGCTTGGTCATTCTGTGGCCTTTTGCAGCCACAAGCAACTAATTAAAGTCCCTTCACTGCTCAAATCACAGTTATCTGATTAAAGCCCCTTGCTGCTAATTAAACTGACATTTCTCTGCACCATGTTTTTCCCACAAACCCTCCCACTCTATCTCACACACACACGCATCATATAAAACAGCAACACTGCTTTATGTATTTATTCTCCTGTCCTTCTTGTTCTCTGATTAACCAGCAGTGTCATTTTAACTGCAGCCCGAGGGGTCAAACAGCCACAAAAAGCTTATCTGGTCCAATCATGTTTGTATTAAAAATTAAATCTGAAAGATTGTCTGAACGTATTTCAGCCATCACAGATGATCTACTCGTCATCGCTTTAAGTTATTTTTAATCCATTTAAACATTTTGTTAATAGCCCTTGCAATCTTCATCTGTGCCTTTGGGCATGTGTCCGAGGGGAAAATGTAATCTGTTTCCCTTTTATGACTCTTATCAGCATTTAACAAGATATCTGGTATTCCTTAGAAACACGTTCATGTAATTGGTAACTAAATGTGTTTGGATGGCTTTAATATTAAACCTAGTTTTTCTTTGGCCCTAAAATGTACATCTGATTAACTTCAGAGATTTCAGTCAGGAGATGATGATGTTGTACAAATACTATGTTGTATAAGCAAAGTACAGCAACAATAATTTGAAGACTTTTCAAGTTGCTCATATAATGGTCCAATAATATCCCTCCGAAAATGTAAGTTAACTCAAAATATCAGGTTGCTAAAATAAGATTGAGACATTTCAGAAACCAAACTAGACGATAATAAATTGGTTGGAAAATCTAAATGTATGACCCAGAATAAAAGTTTGAAATTGCATAACTTGCTATAACCTAAAGGGGGGAATTCAAATCGCA